GAGGGCAGGAGAAAGGCCAAGCATCGTCCCCGTGTTCTGTTTTATACCCTCTGTCCCATGTGCTTGTAGAACACAAGTCCAGGCATGTCTGGTGGGCAATGCTGAGTCCCCAGGCAAGGTTGAGCAATTCCCTTGGTGGGGCCTCATGCAGGTGAGTCATTGAATTGTAGCTCTCTTGCTGGACAATGGCTGTTGATGTGGTGTTTGACACACTGCCCGAGCGTTGGTTACTTTCCTTGCTGTTGCTTCTGGGGAACTAATATCTGGCTGATTCCCCCATTTACCGCATGTTTTAGTGACAACCATACAACACAATTCTCATAACTTCATATGCATTAATGATATACATATGTGGATAGAAAATCACTTTCAGCAGATCATAACCTTTCCCCTGATACCTCACATGGCCTGTTTTATATGCAAGATCACAATTATATATAGATGAGGAATATGGGGATTACAAGACGTTCTTACAAATTATCTTAGGTTTACCTGTAACAAGCCTCTATCATGTATCACCAATAAGATTGGATCCCTGAGCCTTTGCTGTTGCACCAGACTGCTACCACCACAGCACTAACTTCATTAGCTGGCAGCAGGAGAAGGTTGCTGTTCCAGAGGGGGAACAGCCCATTGTTTCTATGTGCTAGGTCCAGGGGGTGGAAACCAGCCCTGCCCAGATTTCTCTTTTCCCTCTCCCCTGAAGACAGGGACTCCTCTTCCATGCTGGGGCAGCAAGTCTGGGAAAGATAAGATTCTGGGCATGTTTGAGGGGCTCTGTCCAGTCCAGATCTCCCCACGTGCTTTTTGCTACAGCTGTTCTCACAGCCATTCCTACTTTGGTGTGCTACTTTGGTGGTGGTATGAGCCTGGTGTTCAATGTTCAAGTCTTTGATTATTAATTTGGCAAGCAAGAGAAAGGGGGTGGTGATCTTTAACCATTGAGAACTCCGCTAAACCTGAATGGAATTTCATGGGACAAAGAAAAGGCACTTCTCCAGCCTGAGGGCTTTCCCCCTGCTGAATTTAGGGTTGCTGCAAACCAGGAAGATTTTACAGCTTCTAAAAACACTATTAAAGCAGCTATTAGCTAAGTAGAAGAAGCTGGTCCAAGTTCGAGTCAGTTTGTCCCCTATCACCCCCCTGCCCCCCTCCTCCTTGTGTAACACAAGGTTCTCAAAGATGATGTTGGTTTTAGTCATTGTAGAGCCAAAGTTTAGCCTGTCCATGATTATATAGCAGAACAAGTACCTCCGCCCCCCTCCCCCAGCCTTGTGATTAAATCCACAGGAGGTCTCGAGTGAAGGAAAGTTTACAAGGTTTCTCTTGTGATGTTTCCTCAGCAGTTTTCAGCTGAGGAGATGTTGTTGCCACATACTCATGTAGAGGAAGTTAGTTCTTCCTCAAGTATTGCTGATGCCCTAAAATCCATGTAGATACTGGGGATTCTGCTGGGTCCATGGACCATCAGTGTAGAGGCCCTATGAACGTACCGGGCATACCATTGATCTGCTTTATGGAGCTGAATTGACAGGGCTTTCCCTTCTGGCCATGGTTCTTGTATCCAACTCACAAAGGGGCCTCCCATAGCATGGAGAATTTCCACTCAGAAGTTAATACAGCAATTTCTGGGTGGGTTTTCTCCTGGACAGATGCAAGAGGATGTGCCTCCAGGCCTACTCCTCACTTTCCCCTTCCCCATATGTGGATCCTCCATTCAATGAAGGGCTCTCCTTGGATTTAGGGATAGGGACATGGTGCCTCAAACGTGTTTATCAGCACATTTTTTTCCATTACAAGAACAGGCACATGAATGTGCAGGGAGTTTCCTGTGGATCTGTGAAGAAGGTACCATCTGGCCCAATTTTCTTTAATTTCCAAACTTATGCCTTCTGCATAAAACCCCCAGCAAACAGTTAAGATATAATAATAAACCATTAAAATCTAAGACTATAAAGGAACATATTGAACATAGCAGGAATAGTCTGGTTTTCTCCATTAAAAACTTTGCACATGTCTTAGTTTTTTGGTCACGGTGTAAGGAATATTGTCATTTCCGTTGCACTCTACTTTTTCTCTTAGCGATTTCTCCAGTAAGAAGTGAACTCCTTTCGAACGCCAGCACCCCGGGGGTCCAGACTGCAGTCTGCTCAGCTACAGCAAAACCTGCCCCAGAAATCACATGGAAGCCTGAGGGCATCCTGATTGGCCAGTCTGAGATACATGGAGTTAAGAATGCAAATGGCACAGTAACTGTGACAAGCACGTGTAACGTCTCTGTGAGGCTCCTGCGATCGAACAACCTCCAGGCTTTGACTTGTGTAATAAACCACCCTATGGGAAGGAAAGAGAAGATAATTGGCCCACTAGA